AATTTAACATATTTAAATAGTGTTTCATAAAGCATTCCTTACAATTCCTTAAATACTATACGATTTAATATATAACTAAGATTGACAAACTGCGATGAGGCTTATGTAACGTATAGAAAATAAATTGTATTATAATAATTATAAGTGAAAGTTTATATATTTCTTACGATTCGTCTAAACTGTTAGTTTTATATGGCAAATTAGTTTTTAGTTTTAATCTTCTTCTACCTGACAATTTCCCAGCTCTAGCCAGGGTCTGCCTAACATAGACGAAAATAATGATTTAAACAGGATCGACCTATCGTGAAATCTTACAGATCTCTCCCCTCGAAACAAATCCGTATTGTGAGCTAACTTTGGAATTGAATACATAAATCAAAGCCGGGGTCAATGTCCCCCTAATCGAATCAGAAAGGTCCTTGACCTATGCAGACCTTACCAAATAACATTTGCCACCGCATTCACGAACAGACATATACACACTAATACCATACAAGCATATACCTATTATATATTATTGTATATATTGCAATTCAATCTTTTAAGTATAAAAAAATTATTAAAAATGCATATAATTTTTCCTGAATAAATTAAAAAATATACGAAAAATAATTTAAATTTCAACAGTCTTAAGACTATTTAAATATAAAGTCAATAATTCAATTATAGTTGTTATCATTCATGCAATTGATAAGAAATATATTATTGTATGAGTCACCTTGGTTTTTTAATGAAAGTATTCTATAAAATTTCATAATCAAATATCTAGAGTCTAGACTGTAGGCGTTTAGTCTAGACTAGACTTAGGCTCTAGACTAACCGTCTATTCCAGGGGTGATTGCCATTAAGTCTGGAAAAAGGAATACACTATTTTCATTGAAAATAAAAATAGAACTAATATTGAAACCATTATTTCTTGTTATAAGCATTTAACAAATTATTTTGTACTTTTTTCATTTATTGTATTAGCTTATCCAAAAGATAATTTCTTTATTAATTCATACAATAAAACGTTTTAAATTCCTTGAAAATTTTGATCATACTGCTTTGATGTTGGCTTATCTTAGATATATATCTTCTAGTATTAATATAAATAAAATGTATATTTTATTTCTTAAAATTGACAACTATCAACATACGTATGGATAAATTCTTAAAAATTGAATAAAAACGAATGGACATACAATTTTATGACAATAAAATACATAGCTTTAATCCACACGAAATAAAATATTATTCAATAAATATTAAAATAAGGAAAGTAAGAAAGATTATTTCGTTTTGAACAAAAATAAAATCCTTTGTTGCTTGATATTTTGTAATAAAAAAATAAAATAATTTTTACTACGTAGGTGGCAAACGAGCAGACGGCCCACTCGATGGAAGGTGGTTACCGTCGCCCATGGATATCCACAACATTTTGTTGCGGATGCGTTGTCAACCTTGTTTTTTGGGGATAGGGAGGGGTAGGAATAAGGAAAGGAAAGGGTAGGAATAGGGAAAGGGCAACCGGTTCTCTCACTCATCGGACGAAACGCAACCATAAGGCCTCGGCCTCGAATTTTGCGGGCAGCGGAGCGGGAGCGGGAGCGGCAGGATCTTACGCGTATAATCAAATGGACCGACCCTCGAATACAGCGGTGCCCGCTGCCCGCTAGTTTGGAGAAATGTATGCGTTTTCGTGCCGCCGCCGCTGCCGCTCCGCTGCCCGCAAAATTCGAGGCCGAGGCCTTAAAGGCTACTTCACGCCGATCTTCTGTGAGAGGGTGGTACTTCCCCGGACGAGCCAGCCCATGTTCGAGCTGTAGTAACTCACCACAGCTAGGCTCTACCACCTTTAAAAAAGGTATATAAATAATATAAAAAAATTCGCAAACATTGTTTTAATACAAATATATATTAATAATAAATTTCTATCGATAAAAGCGTCTCAATCAGATAAAAATTATCAAAGTCCATTAGAATTAATATCGAATCAAAAAAAAGATTAATTATATGAACAATTACAGCTACATATAAAATATAACGCCGGTAATCATAAATGATTACTATGTAAATATAAAAATTAGTTCCTAAATGGACACGTAGCTTGGACATTACGTTACGTAAACAAGTGAATCATACCATACATATTAGTCATAATGAATGATAAAGTGTATTGGAACGAGGAATATTTACTGAGCCCTGTGATGGTAACATGGTACCTTACTACTAGTTTGAAGCGAGAAACTTTCATACTTTATTTACATCTTCTTCTACCTGGCAATTTCCCAGCTATAGCCAGGGTCTGCCTTACATGTTGTGTATAGTTTTGGCTATTTGTTTTTACGACCGGCCGCCTGCCTGACATCAACCCTCTTTTGGGAATCAACATTAATCAGTGATGTCTAAATACTCTTAGAAAGTACATATGACTCGGAAAAATCACATTGGTACTTGCCCGGGCCAGGATCGAACCCGCGCCGTCGGTAACGAGAGGCGAGCCCTTTAACCACTAGGTCACCACTGACTAATTTCATACTTTATTTACATATCTTCGTAATAATAACTCTTTTAATGAAATTTAAGTTTTAACGTTACTCTTACGTCAATCAATCTAGATAGTAAAAGTTTCATTAGTGCATCGTCACACTAATTATTCAGCAATCATCATGTCATTTTTTTATCAAAAACTGTATATATTTATATATATGAAATACAACACACATGTAAATCTTCTCAAAGATTTTACATGCATTGTATCTGAACAAAACACTTGCGAGACTTCATAAATAACAAACTAGCAGTTCAATTCCCCTTAACGAGTAGTGCAGAAAAGTATTTTTCTCTCATATATTTTTCATAATACGATATAAATGATGTAGTTTTACTAAATTTAAAAGCACAGGAAGGTTTTATCAACTATTTGTTATCACTTCTCTGAATCATTTGATGAACGAACAATCAGTACTTACAATGTTATTCTGTGTTAGTATCCATTTAAAACATGTTTGTTAAATTTATTTTAATTATCACTTTATTTGCATCACCATAAATCTTCCAATAAAAATCTTTAAAAAATACTTCAAATTAGATCGTAAATAAACATTGTTTTTACAAATAAAAAATACGATTAAAATCAAATACAAGGCCGTATAAATTAGAAAGCAATAATTGATTTTACTATAAAAGATGTTCATTTTTTTACCTCAGCATCATCTTACTAGATATAGTGTCTTAATTAGTAATTATATCTATATCTATTAGTAACTTCAACTATATCTATTAGTATCTATACTCTATAGTCCATTCCATAAAGTAACCCTCGCCCTGACTATGCTTTTTTTTTATCGTCTTTTATCACCTTAACTCCAATTTTTACAAATCGATCTATCACTGCAATTTGCGTCACAGTCTAAACGAAATTATATCTATGAAATCCATTGGCCTACTGATAATGGCCTTGCTATGTAATTGTACTATAATACATCCGGCAAATAATAGGTCACTGTCCTCTCGAATTACAGTTATATTGAATTATTTTTATGTGTTATTAATATCCGCTATAAAATATAAGTTATGGTACTGAGATAATAAAATGCATTAATACAATATATTAACGCTGGTGGTCATTAAACTGGTTAAATTTCTGTTTAACGAACTAGTTAACGCGACCTTGACCATTTACATCAAACGGAAACGGTATAAACATCAAATTTATTCATTTATGTAATTTACTTTCATACACTAAACTCACTGGGATTACGTCATTAGAATGACGTCACATTCATGACGTCACACGAGTTTTTCTTGTACTTTCATGAGCTGGCCGTTGTAAGAGTTTGTTTTCGTGTTACTACTATAGATTACGTAATACATTATAGTAGAATTATGTCACTATATAAATACAATAACAGTGGAAATTAGACAATAGTCCTATCGCTGTGTATCCAATGCATATGTTATGCAAACATTATTTTAACGTATGTCGTGTACAATAAAGCTATTGTTTTATGAATGTAGAATTGTTGTTATAGAATATTTTTATTACGATACATATTTCCGAAATTATTGTAAAGTTTTATAATGATAAGTAATATATTTTTTAGGTTTTACTGTGAAAACTCTTTATTCTATTGCTTTTTGTTGTCAAGTTATAGACTTCGTTTATCCTTTATCATCTAATCTATAGATAACACTAGACAAGCCTATCTAGACCAATCTATATAATTGATGCAGCTATTACTTCTTTAATTTAAACTATTATTCATATAAATATAGGTACATAATACTTATATTTTCTCTGTGATTACCAAATAAGTCGTTGATTGCCTTAAGATAAGTTATGGCGCCGAAAAATTCAGTTGTTACCTTAAAAAGCTCTGTCGAAACGAAGCAAGGCTAACAAAATTTAATGATCACGATTATAATAAAAAAAATACAATATTTTTTTCTTTTAAATATATAAAAAATATAATTCATTTTATGTTACGACTTAATTAAGTACGAGTAATTATACTAAGCATTGTTTCATTTAAAATAAATTTAATTCCGACTGAAGAGAAAGCGTTTTAAATCATTTCAAATTCAGCGTGTACAGCGAAGCTAATTAAAAATTATCATCAGTAATATTATTTGCTTTTTTTATAGTGTTTTCATGGTTGTTTGGTCAATTAAGCGATCGGAACGAATACCTTGCTACAAATGCCATGGAACGGCCTTTATACAAAAACTTGCATATGTACATACATTATATGTCCCATAGATTTTATATTGACCTAAATTTGAAATAGAATGAATAAAAGGTACAGATGTCATTAGTTGGCTTAATTTAAGAAAACAAATAGAGATATATATTATACATATACATATGTAGTAATGAGCCGTCTCGTTTAATAATAATTAAGGAAAATCAAATTAGTAAACGTTATGATAAATATAAGAGGTCATACATACATATACATGTATACATATTATATATACATATATGTATTTATAAATATACATTTTGTTTGTTACAGTTGGACACGAGCGGTAACGGATATATTGATTTGAAAGAACTAAAAGACGCACTGGACAGCGTCGGATATAAAATACCACAATGGAAGGTAAATATATATTACTAACAGTTTTATAAATAAAAAAATCCTGGGAAATAATTCTATAATAAAGTATTTAAATTCAAATTAACATTCAACTTTTTATAACTAAAGTCTAAATAATTATTAACGAATACATTTATAAGTTACATTAAAATAAATCTTTACTATATTCTTTAACTTTAAATCCCAACCTCTCATCGTTACTTGTTTCATCAAATAAACCAGCATTTTCATATTATCTTATAGTTTAATTAATTACTAGCTTTCCGCCCGCAGCTTGGCCCGCGTGGAGTTCGGTTATATCGCGTTTCCAAGAGAAATTTTCAAAATTCTGGGACAAAAACTATCCTATGTTCTTTCTCAAGATCAACTCTATATCTGTACCAAATTTCATTAAAATCAGTTCAGTGGTTTAGCCGTAAAAGCGTAACAGACAGACAGACAGCGATACTTTCTCATTTATAATATTAGTAGGGATATCCATGAAGTATAATTTAAATTCATAATTATTACTTTCAATATTTATAAATACTTAATCATTTAGTTTTATTTATAGTAATTCATTTGATTTTATTTCTCAGGTTCGATGTATGATCGAAGAATATTACGACAACGGCGCCAAGAGCGGCCGGGGCGTCAATGGCAGTATGAACGGAGACGCCAAGAAGAATGGCATCTCACTGGCTGAGTTTGAGGAACTTTGTGCCAATCTGAAAGCACAGCAGGTACTGAAATGATTAAGACATATAATAAACTAGCTGCGCCCCGCGGTGTTACCCGGGGATTTCCGGGATGTAAAGTACTCTATGTGCTATTCTTGGACATCAGATTCCTGTATACAAAATTTTATCAAAATCGGTTCAGCCGAAGAAGTAACAAACATACACAAGAAGTAACAAACATACACTCACACACTCACAAACTTTCGCAATTATAATATTAGTAGGATATCCTTAGAACTACTTTAAGTCACACAAAACTGATAGTTACTAATTTTTACATGTATACATCACCTCATGATGCTATCAACAAAGTATATGAATGACAAAATTGTATTTGTCTCCGATTAATTGCATGAAAACCTGTTTTAGGCTGACTATTAGATTTAAAAACTGTTGTTTAATAATATTTTGGAATTATATTTATAAGAATAATATTTATGAACAAAAAGTTTATATCTCGTTTTTGTTTTATAAAATTCTTTAGTATACAACATAATTTTCTTAAAATTAATATGTTATCAGTAGAAAGTTAAATAATATCACGAAAGCAAATAATATATCTAAATTAATGATTAATTTTTATTCAAAATAGAGGCTTTTTTATAAATGTAATTAAATATTTATAATTTTCGTCTATTGTTTACCACTTGATTACTGCTTTCTCTTGTTGTACATAAAATCTATAACTATATTTAGATATAAATTAGACCAGAAATATTACATGTCAATAATATTATGTAATATATAAAAAAAGTTTTAATAAACAAAAGCGTTCTATATTTCATTAAAAATAAACTTACTTGAAATAAATAAATTTATTGAATAACAAATTAATATTGTTATTATAATATAATTTCAGGTGTCGAGTACATTTAAACAGGCTGTCAGTAAAAAGGAAAATCTTGAACACTTGGGTGGGATGAGTGAGGCTTCCAGTGATGGTAAATAATATATACATTATAATAATATACACAGAAATAATATATATTCTATATGTGTAGGCTTTTCAGTAACAAATAATGAGATTAATGAGTAATATGTTATATTAAAGTCGATGTCATTAATTCTTTCCTGTTTATTTACTGACCCTACCTTAGAACTCAAATAATTGCCTATACAGGGTGACTGGTGAATTACTATCAATATTTAAGGAGCATACTCAGTACATGATTCTCATTCGAATTATGTAAAAAAAATAGGTACTTAATTTTTGACAAAATTTCCGTATAAATAAATAAAGTGTTGACACGTTCAAAGTGTTCCAAGTGTGGACGCGTGCGGCGGCGTGCTGATACAACACATCGCCGCCGCGCGCGTTTGTGTGTGTGTGTGTATACCTAATCTGTAGGGTGTTCACACGATGCGTAATTAATTACATAACTTTTGGTTAACTTTACTTAGAAGTTTATTAATATTTATGTTATATTAATTTTTATTTTGTCATATATGATCGTCAAATATCACGTCCTCAAATATCGATAGTAATTCACCAGTCACCCTGTATAGTCAATATTCAAAGTGAAAAGTTTTTTCACTCTGTAAACATGAGTTCAATTGATTATGCTATTTATTTATATGAGTAGACTTAAATAATTAGTACATACAATATTACTCCAACTGTTTGAAGTATATCCTTAGAGAAACTTAATTTAAGTGGTTATTATCATACATACATAACAATCAATTTATATAATTCTATACATTATGGCATTTCTATATAGTTAAAGTAAAATTTTAAATATGAACTATCTAAAATTTCTATCAGACAGTATACTAATGATAGGAAATAAAAGGGTCTTAAAAAAACTGTTTACAACTAATAATAACTCTGTATAATTGTATAATTCCAGGTACGACTCACTCTGTACGTCTTGAGGAACAGATGGCGTTCTCTGGATGGATTAACAGTAACCTGGAGCATGACCCTGACCTCAAACACCTACTTCCCATAGACCCTGAGGGCAAACAACTGTATGAGAAGCTTAAAGATGGACTTATACTATGGTATGTATAAGCTGTTATATCTTCTACTTCTACCTGGCAATTTACCAGCTTTAGCCAGGGTGTGCCTTACATGTTGTGAATAGTTTTGGCTATTTGTTTTTACGACCGGCCGCCTGCCTGACCCTCTTTTGGGAATGCATTAATCAGTGATGTCGAAATACTCTTAGAAAGTACATATGTCTCGGAAAAATTACATTGGTACTTGCCAGGATCGAACCCGCACCCTCCTGCATGAGGTGGGCCTTTTAACCACTAGGCCACCATCGACTTATGCTGTTATATGTATGACTATATATAAGAAGCCTAACGATTGATGACACATAGTTTTAAGTCTTTTAAACATCTATTACTTTTATAAACATATGTTAACGTGTCTACTTTTTATATCTCTTGTGTCTACTTTTTATTTCTCTTGTGTCTTTTACTCCCTGTGTACATCTATTTATACCTTACCCTTAAGCAATAAATTGAGATAAAAAAAAACGATTGATGACACTAGCTAGTAACATATTTAGAAAAAAAAATTATTACCTACCCTCAAAAAAATATTTTTTCAGTATAACAATATCAACATCACTGTTTTTAGTGTATTGTAAATGTTAGCATAAACTAAGAGTTGTAAGTCATAATATTTAAGTTTTTTTTAGTATTTCTAAATGTAATTGTAACACAAACACTTTCTACTTAAAACAAAGTCTACTAACACAAACAAAATTAAATCTAAAAAAACCTATTATTAATATTTAAAAGACATTCGAATTATGTAATAATATATTATTATGTTATTCCAGTAAAGTAATAAACCATTCCTGCCCGGATACTATTGATGAGCGAGCTATCAACAAGAAGAATCTGACTTTGTACACCAAACATGAAAACCTCACACTAGCATTAGTGTCCTCACAGGCTATCGGATGTAATATAGTCAACATAGATGCCCATGACTTGGCCAAAGGTACAATTAGGGTACAAATAGTAAAGGTACAGATTATAAAGGTACAAAAATAAAGTGTAGTAATATTAATGATGTATTACAGGAAAACCTCATCTCGTGTTGGGTCTATTGTGGCAGATCATTCGTATTGGTCTCTTCAACCAGATCACTCTTGAACATTGTCCAGGGCTTACAGAATTACTTAATGACCAGGTGAGATGATTAATACACATTAATAATACTAAAAATATTCTTTGATATCGCTTTGATTTTCTTTGTTTTTGTCAATATTTTCGATTAATCTATTTTGAATTTTAAAAAAATTCTTGCATATATCTATTTAAATTGATAAACTACATATATGATAGAAATCCTCTATATTACTTAACTCCAATATTAAATTAGTCTTAGTAAGTCTATTTCGAATTCTCAATAATTTCTCACATATATACATACATATTAGAATCGAAAAACTACATACGTGTTGAAAAATCTCGTATATTATATAATAATTTAAATACTAATATTAGTGTTATATATTTCCAGGAGCGTATCGAAGACCTGCTAGCTCTCTCCCCAGAAGCCATCCTTCTTCGCTGGGTGAACCACCAGCTGCAGGCCGCGGGTGTGACTCGCAGGTGTAACAACTTCCAGCAGGACGTGGCTGACTCTGAGGTGTACAGCTACCTGCTCAAACAGATCGCACCCGATGACGCTGGAGTTACATTGGACGCGCTACGGGTTAATAGATTTATAATCTATATACATATATAAAAATGAATTACTGTTCCTTGGTCTCACTAAAACTCGAGAACGACTGAACGGATTTATCTTATCATAGTCTTGAAATGTTCGTGGAGGTTCAGGGAAGATTTAAAAGGTGAATTTTTTTTATTAATTTCCGGGAAAAACCTAAAAACAGCGCTTTTTTATTTCCCATACAAACGGTTTTTTGACAACTAACTAATATGTCAATCATTTTGTCGCACTCTAGAACACGGAGATTTATGGCTTAAAGGTAAACACCAAAAAAATAAATAAGACATCAGTCAGCTAGTATAATAATAATAATAATAATAATAATAACATCAGCTCCACTCACAATACCGGTACTCCGCACGGCTCAAACCATCATACCCAATTCTGAACCTATATAACTTATTTTTCCCCTGTTGTGCAATTGGCTTTGGCCGTATACAACAGTAGATATACCAACAATTTTGTTGCGAAAAATAAAGATAATAATAATAATAATAAACAATACAGAAGGCAGCTATTTTGAACACATGCAGAATAGTTAGAAAGTTCATGCAATTAGAATAGAATGACACAACAATATAAATATTACACACCACATACTGCATTCACTTGATTTATATCAGTGAATGTAGTTTACACCAGCTTACAGGCTGAGAAAAACAGAAACTCCCGAAAATAATAATAATAATAATATTCTTTATTGTACACCACAATACCATAGAAATTTAACAATAAAAATTAAATATATATAAAATAAAAGTACCTAGATGCACAATAAGGCGGTCTTATCGCTATTCACTAGGTAGCGATTTCTACCAGACAACCTTATGGGCTTAGGAACACAGTCGTGATTTCAGAGAAGTAATATACTAGCTGCGCCTCTGAATTTCCGATATGTAAAGTAGACTATGTGTTATACCTGGACGTCAGCTTCCTGTATACAAAACTATCAAAATCGCTTCAGCCGTTTGAGCGTGAAGTAACAAACATACACACTCACAAACTTTCGCAATTATAATATTAGTAAGATCATGTAGTCAAGGATAGTGCAAAGCCGATTAACTATCATTGGATAATTCCGCGTATCTACATTGGAAGCAAATTATAATCAAAAGAAAGTTTAAACTGAAATATTTTCTATATTAACGATTTTAAAGGTATTTTTTTCACAGTTAGTAATTATTAAATGTTTAATTTATTCTATTTATGTATTAGAATTATTTATTGTTGATTTTATAAGGTTTATCATTTGTATTTTATCCTGACTGATAGAATACTTATGTTGGTTTAATAAGTAGTATGTAAATATTTCGTACAAAATATATTATTATCAAAATAAATCAAAATTATAACACTTTGTATGATTAGGGGAAGAAGATCTTCTCATAAATAATTAATGACTTTTCAAAAATAATTACATCAAAATCTATCATTAGGTTTCCTTGTGTGAATATAAAAAAAAAATCTTAAGCAGTCAAATAACAATCGAAAATTAGTTTTGTTAAGTGAATACCTGTAATCAGATATAAATATAATCAACACACTTAACTCAAGTTTTATCGTTCAACTTGAAAACTTATCTAGTAGTTTTTTATACATAAATCCAAATTGACAACATACAAAACTAAAATAAAAATAATAATAATAATAATACGTAATATATATAAACAGGAAACAGATCTGCTTCGTCGAGCGGAAGTGATGTTACAACAAGCGGCCAAGTTAAGATGTCGAGCGTTCGTAACCCCCGCGGACGTGGTTGGAGGAGTTTACAAACTGAACTTGGCCTTCGTCGCTAATCTGTTCAACCAACACCCGGGACTACAGAGAAACGAAAACAACGACACCTACCACCCTCTGGATGAAACTAGGGAGGAGAAAAGTATGATATGAATATATATAATACTGTTAAAATAATATTACAATAATATTTGTATGATGTATCGATAAACGAATTTAGGATATACTGTGAATTCGATCGAGACGACAGAGAAAAAAGTATGACAGTAATAATGAAGTCTAAGATTAAAAGTAAACTAATATTTACTACGCATTTATAATTATATTTAATTACATACAACGGACGTTTCGGTTCGGTTACTTTGCAGTCGTGATCACGAAAACGAAATGAAATGATACTAATATTTTTACCATTAAAATAATATTGAAACAATATCTTTATTGATAATCAAATAGAAAATATATAATAAATTCATCTATCAAGAATGGATTCGAACCTAATTTATAGAAAGTCGCGTACTAGTTAGTGGCTTGCCAACTGAGTTATCCTATAAATTTTAATTAGAATATTATGCACCTAAAATATTTCCCTGTAGTATTCAAATATTATAATACATGTATATAACATTTCAGCGTACCGTAACTGGATGAACTCGATGGGCGTGGCGCCTCACGTCAACTGGCTGTACTCCGACCTCACCGACGGACTCGTTATATTCCAGCTGTACGACATCATCAAGCCGGGGATCGTCAACTGGAAGAAGGTGACGCGCACACACACACACACACACACACACACACACACACACACACACACACACACACACACGCACGCACGCACGCACGCACATAGGAGTCAGTTAGTCAGTGGTGGACTAGTGGTTAAAGGGCCCGCCTCTCGTTGCCGAGGGCGCGGGTTCGATCCTGGCCCCGGCAAGTACCAATGTGATTTTTCCGAGTCATATGTACTTTCTAAGAGTATTTAGACATCACTGATTAATACATTTCCAAAAGAGGGTTGATGTCAGGCAGTGGCCGGTCGTAGAAACAAATAGCCAAAACTATTCATAACATGTAAGGCAGACCCTGGCCATAGCTGGGAAATTGCCAGGTAGAAGACACATACGAGCACACAGTGAGTTGTGTGATTAACGGATGAAATGACATTCATAAAGAATCATATGACACTATATAAAATATGATCTATAAAACAAGATAGTTTTAAAGTAGTACCCTTCTCTCATCAAAGTATAAAGCAAAATTACTTTATCATTGTCATTCATCGCCGGTCAATTATGGCAATTGTTATAGTATAAAAGCTGACTTTACATAATAAGTGACAGCTTTATAAAATGTGATTCGGCCAAATAACACCAAGGCAAACTACAGTCCTTGATAGTTCTTACATGTATACAAGACATATATACAGAACCTTTCAACTTTATAAAATATTGAGGGTCCAGCCGTTGTGGGCTCTTGGACTATAATTTATTAGTCAACTATCGTCACAGATATATTGCCAATAATATACTATATAACATGTAGACAACAAAAATATATAACATGTTTTAATAAGCTCTCAAACAACGATAATTTTAACTGATTTTTAGATTCAATCTCTGTATGCAAATCTAAATGGTTAAACTATAATTTGTTAACTATTATACTGTTTATTAAATATAAATCTATAGTTATATAATCTGTTCTTTATATTATGTTCCAGGTCCATCGTCAGTTTTCTAAGCTCACTCGTTTCATGGAGCGTTTAGAGAATTGTAACTACGTGGTTGAGTTAGGGAAAGCGCTGGGCTTCTCACTCGTGGGAATAGCGGGCGCTGATATTAACGAAGGAAACGCTACGCTCACACTTGGTAATATATTAATTAACCCGGAAATTCCATATAAAAAATAGGAGTTGGTGATAAAAACTAAAAATTTAGGGGTGAATAACTCTTATCACTTAGGGGTATGAAAAATAAATAGAAGCTGATTCTCGGACTTATTGAATATGCTCACAAAATTTCATGATAATCGGTCAAGCCGTTTCGGAGGAGTATGGGAACGAACATTGTGATATGAGAATTTTATATATAAGATATATAGTCTATATTCATATTTTTTATTAGTGAATTTAAGTTGTAGTTGCTAAGGCTAATGTAGATATTTTTCTTTATGATATACTTTATAAGTTATTTGAAATCTGTCCAGCAATTTCAGTGATCATTTGAATAAACTTATAGACTGAAAATATTTGACTGACTGAAAATAAAACTTTGAAAATGTTGCGTATCAGGTGCCAGGAAAAATATTATGATTTTAAAAACAATTTACATTAGAACTAAAAAGTATTTAATATAATATAATTTTTATTTGTATATCAATAATTATAATAGTATAGCATGTAAATTTGCTTCACGAGAATATTTTTTTTAGTTTCATATAAGAGGTGTATTTTTTACGTATAACATATACATCAAGCTTGATTCACATAGCCTCCAGAGTTTAATAATCACTAATATATAATGATTATTATTAATATATAATGTATATATATTCCAGCTCTCATCTGGCAGTTGATGCGCGCCTACACCCTGTCTGTATTGACTCGCCTGGCTAATACTGGCAACCCGATCATAGAGAAAGAGATCGTACAGTGGGTCAACAATAAACTACAGGCGGCTGGGAAAACATCATCTATTAGAACATTCCAGGTTAATACAAATATATAGATTATACATATAAAAATGAACCTTATATAACTAGTAATAGAGTAGATTGTAACAACTTTGTAGTACATAAATAATCAGTTATGACCTTCCAAGTCAATACAATAATATTATTATATTATTCATATAAACTTGTACTCTATGCCACTGTTAATAGAGTTCATTGTACTAATTTTGTAGTATATGATTTTTTTGAGTTTTTCTTAATTTTAGATATATTTGTATGAAGATAATTAAATTTCATTAACAATATTCTTACATTCTCAATAATTCAAGCATAATTATTCTATATTAAAATGCATCTTATGTCACTAATAATAGAGTTGATTAATATTGATTCAAACATTATTTCCTTCATTATATATATTTCATGTAATTGTTTCAGGATGAAGCTCTAGCTGACGCTAAGATAGTTCTGGACTTGATCGACGCCATTAAACCTGGAGCTATCAACTATGACCTGGTATTACACGGAGGGACTGTGGAGGTAGATATGACTAACATACATTTTTTTTATGTGAAAGGTGGCAAACGAACAGACGGCCTACTTGAGGGTCAGTAGTGACCGTCGCCCATGGACATCCGTGACGGAGATGTTATGGATGCGTTGCTAACCTTAATTGTTGAGGAAAAGGGAGGGGTGGGAATAGGGAAATTGTAGGAAAGGGAGGGAATAGAGAAAAGGCAACCGGCTCTCTCACTCATCGAACGAAACGCAGCCATTAAAGGCTACTTGACGCCGATCTTCTGTGAGAGGGTGGTACTTCCCCGGACGAGCCAGACCATGTTCGAACTGTAGTAACTTGACTACAGCTAAGCTCTACCACCTAAAAAAATATATATGATCTCACAATACTGATTATAAAACAAGTTTTTATGATATCAAAAGCATATAGTTTTATTATCAATATGTATAATATGTTAACTATTAATCTTTGCTTTTATTGATAGTTCAATGATAGGAACGTAAAGCCTTAAACTGAATAAGCAACTTAATTCGTAATAAAGTTATAGAATTCATCAAGACAAACAGCCAATTATAATAGTATATACATTACTTGTAAAACGAATTAATGTTAATGACACCATAATAATTTTAAACCTATATAAATTCGAAACCTGGCAAGTACCAATATGATTTTTCCGAGTCATACGTACTTTATAAGAGTATTTAGACATCACTGACTGGTGAAGGAAAACATCGAGAGTAAACCTGGACTTATATATCCAATTATAAGTTTGAAATCACCAACCCGTCTTGAGCAAGCGTGGTGATTAATGCTCAACCTTCTTTATGTGAGAAGATGCCTTTGCTCAGCAGTGGGCTCTGATAGGCTGATGATGATGACGATATATTATTATTATATATTATAATATATTTGCAGGACAACCTCGCGAATGCCAAGTACGCCATTTCAATGGCGCGTCGTTGTGGCGCGCGAGTGTACGCGCTGCCCGAAGATATTACCGAGAGGAAACCCAAGATGATTATGACGGTGTTCGCGTGCCTCATGGCGCTAGACTACATACCTAACATGGACGCGCCCGGGATGTAAGGCGACACACACACACACACACATATATATATATAAACTCAAAAAAAACCATACTTGAATACTATTGATAGAAATACGACTCACTATATATGAAAATACAATAAATCATGCATCCTATCATATACAGCTACATATTTAGATATAAAATAAAAAAAAACATTTACGCTGTAAGAAAATTGACAAAATACTAGGTATAGAAAAAAATCTGACGATTTTTTTTTTATTACAATTACAAAAATATTTTTTTTATTATTTTAATATTGATCTACCAGATTGTGTTTTCGTGTAGATTCTCGTATTATTTTTTTATCGTTTTATATTTGATTTTCGTTTTATTTTTCTAAGCTACGCGCTGTATTTATAATATAATACATGTGTATGAAGTATAACAATATTAATCGTTTATTAACGCAGCGTTTGTATGAACGTCTGCTGTATTCATATAATTCTTATGATTTCGTTCTGTAGGAGCTCGTTTCATGTGATCGGTGAAGCCATAATTTTTATTATAAGTCATTCCTATTTAACATTAGCGAGTATCTTTATAATGGATTCCACTTGCGGACTTGTAGCGGGAATATTATTTACTATTTATATGATACTGACCACGCGCGAATATGATAACCGACTTCAAAAAGGGAGGTATTCCAACATTATACAGCGTCTTGTCCATATGAAATTCATTAATGAAAAATTAACATATATTTATGTTAACAGAAGTACACATATCCATTTTCGAAGTCGGTTATGAGCACATCAATCGTTCAAGGGAGTGTCCACTACATTCCGTCACATATCTTTAATTTCGTTCTTCCTTTAGTGTGGTGTCGGTCACAGTATACACACATTCTTACTACAAGTGCGTCGTTAACTTACATACTTATAGTATCTCGTTTGTCATATATTTCGACTATTCGTACTTGTGGTAAGATGTAAGTAACCGCTTCCCACGTGCTATGCACATCATTGTATCTGTGTCGCTTCTTTGATCTCGCTTTACTCGCAAGAAATCTGTATTGTCTATGGTTTGTAATTAGGTTTAACGAATTAATAGTGTACTTATATAGTGTTACGGGCGATTTTTATACATTTTTTACAACGAATCGGCATTTTTTATGTGTAAGGCCGTTTGTGGAGGGTTTGTGAAATGCTAACATTTAACATAATGGTAAGTGTTCGGGTACTTAATGTCTATGGATTTGGCCTAACAGATAAAGTTAGTTGTGAAAGTGTCATAATAACTTCTTTGAAACACGTTCGTTGTAAGATTAAATACGTTTTGATACAAGTCTGAAATAAAATAGATCATTGGTACAATCGACATTCCCGAAATCATTTTGCATTCCTTTAGAATTTTATTTTGAATTCTCGTTCATTTATAAATTGTATATTAACTAAATGTAAGTTAAGGAATATTTTTTATATTCCCTTCGAGATTTATTAATTTGTGACATTCCCGTGGGATACAACGATTTTTTTATACCATATTTTTATTGTAAATTTTTTATTATGTTAGACTTTTTATATAATTCAGATGTTTTTATTGATTTTATAATGTATTTTAAGTGAAAAAATAATGTTTAATGCGTATTAAAAATGAATAGGAATCGAAATAATAGTCTCATCTATTACCTATACTCTATACGGCGGAATGCTGTCATTAATGTGTTAAGTGATATGTAAGCGAATATAAATAAATAAATCTAAATCACGACTACTTTCATTTTATTAATGGTCACAGTCACTAACACTATATTTTCACCTGGGAACTGGTTGTGGGTGCTTTCAATGTGGTAAGTTCTGTCTCTATTCGTCTTATCTTTTGGTTTCTGGAATTATCTTCATTGTATATGAATATTATTTTTTATATAACGTTTTGTTTCGTCCCTGTTAAGTAATTGTTATATGTTAGGTCGGACCAACCGGTAATACAAGTTGTGGATAACGAAGTACTTATCGTTGAAGCTGCTGATGATGTTCCGAGGAGCGAAAAACCAGCCCTGCCACCGAAACCAGACAACTTGATGCCATTAAACCATTCCGTGTCGACAACCGATGAATAAATAACATTTATTCAACAAATAAACTCATACAAAAAGTTTGTTATCAGATTTTACGAAAATGATTGTAATTTTGTACTTTTTTCTATTGGAATAATTTATTTTTATAAAATTTTTGTATTGTTTGTCTCTTAAATTTCTTTTTATTTGAAAGTACTACAAACGTAAGTAGAACTTTCACATTTTATTTTTATATACTTTGGAGTGTTTTTGTTGTGACTGTACATAATGACGGAATAAATCCAATTCAATATATAAGATTGATATGATGACATTTACTTCATATTTTATTATATTTTTACGTAATGACTAATAAATGTTGATTTACTGTAATCTTTTTTGTCCATTCATTATCCACACATATATCATTACTTTTAAAGTTTTGTAAACTTCAAAATTTTATTATGATTATAAAAACAAAATGTGAATTAAATAAATTTTTATTTGTCCTATTCACAACACTATTCTAAACTAATGTCAAATATTTTCTCTTTATAATATTTGTTATATTTTTTATGCTAAACCAACCAGACGGCCTACCTGATGAAGGTAGTACCGTCGCCCATGGACATCCGCAACCGTTTTGCAGATGTGACACCGTTGATTAGGGAAGAAGGAAAAATAGGTTAAGGAAGGGGTAGGAAAGGATGGGAAAAGAGAAACGGCAACCGGGTAACTCACTCATCAAACGAAACGCAGTCTTTAAACACTACGCCATCTATTGTGAGAGGGTGGTACTTCACCGGTCGTCGAGCCAGCTCATGTTCGAGCTGTAGTAACTGACCACAGCTAGGCTCTACCACAAAGGAGTTTTCATATAAATTAAATTGTTCATCATATTTTAGTTGAAAAAAAGTGAATGAAAAGACAGTTTGAGTATATTTGTGATGATTTAATTCATTACACAGCAGGCAACAAAAAATTATAATTAACATGTAATACAATATTCAATACAGGATGGGAGAGCGATCACAATGTGGTTTACCTCTACAATATTGCTATACAAAAAAACATTTGACTTTCTCTGTACGAAGAAAACAAATGTTTCTACAATTTACCTTAAAATTTTGTGTACATAGCAGATACAAATTACAAGACAGATTATAAAATAATATTTACACAATATACAGATAATGAAAGCTTTGTACATTATGTTTTACAAAACATTTCAGGGCGGACTCTATGTTCTATGTTTCCATTAATCCCTTTAAACTATTAGTTTGTAAGAAATTTGGAATGTTTACAAAATATCAATAGAAAAGACTCTCCTTATACATATCATTTAACAAAAGGTACAATACTTTTTACACTTAAAACTGGGTATTAAATTACAAAAAAGATGTCATTCTATGAATTAAGTAATGTTCTAACATTTTAAAAACAGGCTAAGTCAAAAATGAGTTGCAAATACAAATATTATTGGAGAATTAATCTTTCGAAATACTTATCAAAATAAAATTTTATAGAATTACAACTTCGCTAGAATTTTACAGCTTTTTAACAATAAAATTGGATCACAAATATATGTAAAAAATTTGGTCTCGTTCAACAAACACAAACTACAGGAAACTAAAACTTGAATTAACATTCCATTTGGTGCAGAGACGAAATAAAAAACAGTCTAATTTTCCTAAATATGTGAATCACCAATATACAATCAATAAATAACGTTTGAATCATCCACGCTTTAATGACATTAGTACATAAAGAAATAATATCCGAAAAAACTAATCAAATTTCAACAAAATTTCCAAAACTGAACAGTGAAATTAAAATTCAATCCTTGACCTCATGAACGCTTCAAACTCCAATGAATTCGAGATTTCACTAATTTTTGTATCAGCCTTTAACCCGAGGTACATTTATTTAATTTTTTTTCCGTAATGTATCCTACAATCACATGTTAGGCAAAATATTTTTAATATCCAAAGATTTGAAGCTGACAGTGTAATGTAATGATAACACAGTGTCTGCAACACAAACATTCATTCAAGGGAACCAGCCCTATCCCTAAACCTAAATTTCATCTATTACATGTCACTGAAACAGTTCCCAAAACTATTCAGATTTAAGTTTGTTCCATAAACTAGAGAATTAATTAAATTATTCTTATTTCAAAATAATATTCAATTCAATTAAAATTCGCATATTTTGAGAGACTAAATGTACTGAATAGTATTGTTATAATAATAAAAAAAATTATCCTTATACATTAAATCCCAATTATTTTTGTATTGAAATAAACATGTCTATTTGAATAATTAAAAAAATGTCCTAAACACATTCACCTACTACCTTAAATGATCTTTTCACAGAATAACCGATCAATCTCGGATAATTTGTTCAATAATACAATACAATCTGTAATTTTAATTATTACAGGACCAAATTGCAATATTACCGTTTCTTCTCAAAACTCGTTACCTCATCAACCACACAACGACTTGCATTCATACCTGAATTAAAAAGAAATAAAAAGTATAACAAAAAACAAAGAAAAAACAAAAATATATAAAGCATTGCAATTACGTCCGGTTAAACAATGACTTATTATTATATATATTAATGTTAGTTAGTTTTATATAAAACTATATAACATAGTTCCAGCTATACATATGATATGGCTTACATTAGATATAGTACATATATATAACAAAGCGTGATACACATATTTACTTATAATTAAAAACAATACATCACAATTCAATCTGACGGTATCCAAAGACTTAAAAGGCATTCAAAAACAATAATAATATAAATATGATATAATTTTTCTGTTCTCTGACTTATAAAATTAAATGGAGATATTAAAAAAACATTTTCATTATAAACAAAACACTATAATTATACCAAATATAACAAGTCTCTGAATACCATCTAGTTTTATTGCAACAATACACCATATTCTGTTAAAGTTAAGATCTATTTTCAAATAATATGGTTATGTTAGAATGAAATGATTCATTGAGCAGAATGGGATTAATAATGAAAACTCAATACAAATGTTAGTTTATACCACAGTGAAATGAAGACAAGTAAAACAAAAACATCGGACAGTAATTGATTAAACTAAAGGCACTTATTTTTAATGATAAAATCGTCCTCATTTCACATCAGATGGACTATTAGAATGGAGATGGTCTTTGGTATATAAATAATATCAAAAGCAATACATTAGTGGACAAACAAGCTGACCACTTCCATATGACAAACCATATATGACCGTCTCATACATATTATATAACATGATAAATATAATATATATATGAATATATCTTCTATTACCTGTCGTGATGTTTATCCAACAAGTATTCCTTGAGTCTTTTCAGTAGATGTTCTGATAGTTGAGTGACTTCGGGCCATTGTTTTAATACCATCACACCCAACATTACAGCGAGGCTAGTGGTTAGGACACGGACTCTGGAACATTATATATTTCATTAATATATAGAGTTTTAACTTATATATATATATATATATATATATATATATGACCTCGGACTATGTCAGAGAGAATTGTATAAGTGTTAAAATCTACGGCACGTGACTTCATACTAAATACAATTGTTAGACAATAATACCGCAGAAATTAAAACAATAGGTCCTAAATTATATGTAACTAGATGAGCTCGAGACTCCATCTTATAAGTAATTGTAAATTCTTTAATGGTTCTTAAATCAAATTATAATAAGTTAAGACTAGAACGACATAGTTTTTGAGATCTCACATTGTAAAGTTTCATTAATTTTTATTTTAATAGTTTTCGGCAAAACAAAAGAGCAAAGAACATACACATCTTCACAATCGAGCATTTATTATACTAGCAGTACATAGACGCTATAAATATTATTCCTTTGCAGACAATTACATTGATTGTTTCACTATTGCTGTAAAATCTAATATGAAACATGTTTTACATATAAGATACTAGATACCAAAATTAAAGATGTACAGCTGCGTGCAAAAGTATTAGGCACCCCTATTGTTAGTCACTATCTCATTATATTGCGGTCAAGTGTGTGTTTTATGGTTTAGCTATTGTATTAGCGGCAATTTTTAACCAAATTAAGATAAAAGAAAATATTTATGACATCCAGGTGTGCTCCTAAGCGGTGTTTCTTCGAATTTGCTTTTTTTGCGTTTCGGGTTATAGTGTGTTATCAGTGCTTGCAGTGAACATACACGTCTTCTACGCAACTATTCCTATCACAATTCTAAAGACTAACATTTAACGTGTTAATCATGCCGAAAAAATCTGAACTTAGTGCTGAACAGCGTCTAAGAATTAAGATTTTACATGAACAAGGCATGTCTCAGGTTAAAATAGCCCGAGAAGTGAAGTGCTCGCGATGTGCAGTTCAATATGCTATCAATCGCTTCAAAAAGACTGGCACCCATGAAAATAGACCAAGAACAGGCAGAAGAAAAGTTACTACTGAACGGGAAGATCGATTGTTGATTAGGCAGTCTCTACAAAACAGGAAAAAAACTGCTTTAGAGCTCGCTGCAGCATTATCTGAGGCAAAAGGCAGCTCAGTGAGTGTTTATACTGTGAGAAGAAGACTTCTTAAAGCTGGATTAAAAGGATGTAAAGCAAGGAAGAAGCCGTGGCTGTCAGAACACAATAAGAAAAATCGGTTGGAGTGGGCACTCAAACATAGAGATTGGTCAGTGGAAGATTGGTCCAACATACTGTGGTCAGACGAATCTAACTTTGAGGTATTGTTATTTATTTTATGTACAATATTAAAACACATAAATGTTTTTTAAATAACGTACTGCAAGAAAAATAATAACTTTGAAAATAAATGTTTTTTTTTCGTTTGGCATAGGTGTTTGGAACACCCGGTGTGACTTATGTTAGGCGAAGGGTTGGCGAAGAATACAACCCAGAATGTGTGGTTCCCACTGTTAAGCATGGTGGAGGCTCAATAATGATCTGGGGCTGCATGGCTGCCGACGGAGTGGGCGAAATGGTGTTGTGTGAGGGACGAATGAATAGTGTTAAATACACTGAAGTTCTGGAAACAGCACTAGCAACGTCGATAACGCAAATTTTCGGTGATACAAACACCGATGGCCTGAAATTTCAGCAAGACAACGCCACTTGCCACAAGTCCGCGCATACCATGAGGTGGTTTGCTGAAAATCATATTGATCTTTTGGACTGGCCACCACAATCACCAGACCTCAACCCGATTGAGCATATTTGGTCCATTTTAAAGAAAAATATCCGCAGGCACTCGATTAGCAATAAACAAGCTCTATTGGCCGCGTTACAGCAGGAATGGAAAAATATATCAAGAGAAGAATGTTTCAGGCTGGTAGAGTCAATGCCAAAAAGAGTGGCTGCGGTTATTAAGTCAAAAGGTGGACCTACAAAATATTAATTATTTTCTTAAAATAAACCATTGTAATCATAAATGCAGTTTTATTTACACTCGCTATGCTAAAACACCCTAAAACTTGTCTTACGGTAGGGTGCCTAATACTTTTGCCCGTGGCTGTACATGTAATTTAACATAATATTACTCACACTCCAGGGTGGAAGATATCTCTCATAGAGATAAGCTTTTATTTGTATCACTTTGTTTATTTGTTATTTTTTTTTCTGTGTTACTTGTTTTTGGTACATGAATAAATAAATATATACTTTGTAATGCCAATATAAGTTCTCACTACCTGGTTCTCAAGAACGGCATGGCCACACCAGCGACCGTGGCCACAAGCAGTAATGCCAGCTGCAACAGCGTGATGGCCACGTTCAGCAGCTTGACGAGCAGCAGCCGGGGGGGAAGTGCCGCCGCCCCGCCCGCCTCACCCCCGCCGCCGCCCGCGCCACCGCCGCCCGCACCCCCTGACATCCACTGCTCTAACTTACTGATCTGGAATATTTATTATATATTATAATAATGTTATAAAGTAAGCTGTGGAGATGGAAAATAATAATATAGGAGTTATTCATCAGAGCCCACTGAACAAAGGCCTCTTCTCACATGGAGAAGGTTTGAGCATTAATCACCACGCTCGCTCAAAATTGGTTGGTGATTACAAACTTATAATTTGAATTTATAAGTCCAGGTTTCCTCACGATGCTTTCCTTCATCTGTCAGTGATGCCTAAATACTCTTAGAAAGTACATATGATTTTAAAAATTACACTGGTACTTGCCAGGTGCCGAACCCGCACCTTTATGCATGAGAGGCGGACCTTTATCCTCTCGGCCACAACATTTTTCGGGGGGGGGGGGGGGGGGGGGGGCTTACTTATTAAATGTCTCCAATGGAATCAAGCAGATGAAATTCATATTGTAGAAGTAATGAAAGCTATTTTTGAGATTTTGACATGAAGGGACCTTTTAATGTACCCTCTAATCCTTTTAGGTCTATTTATTCTCCTCACCTTAGTTTGACACAGGTCCAAAGCTTCATGTATGTCTCTTATTCGTTCCTCGCTCTGATATTGTACCTTTTCCTCCACGTCTGTTAGAGCCTGCTTCAAATTTTCAACCTGAAACATAAAACAATTATTATTAACCATATATAATATGCTCGATATCTTATTAATAACAAACTATCCATACATTACACCAAAATCATATTTTAATTGAACTAAAAGAAAGGTACAAAGTAATTTTGTTTGCCATAACTTGGATCGAACCAGCAAACATTAGAATATTGAGTTTTAATAACTTTATAAATTGAAGTATCGCGTCCTTAATTAAGTTATGTGTATTAATAAATCTATATATTAATCCGTTCTCATGTATTTTACATAATGAGACAATTACTGCTAAGTGATGATAGTTTCAATCACATCAGTTATATATAACTGTATGTATGTATAAAATGCTGACCTCATTTTGATGTAGTTCAGTGAGGTCGTTAATCTGTTCCTCGAGCCTCTCAGCCTTGAACCGTTCCTCTTGAAGAGCGGCTGATAGGAACGATACCTCCTGGGACAGGTTCTATACAAGACAAAGACAATTTTTTAATATGTATATATGGATTCACAGTACATATGGATATAGTAATTTTTTACCATTTATACTAAAGAACAGAAGATTGGTTTAAATTTATGTGAAACAAATATACAAATAAATATATATTCCTTGTGATTGGATAGCATGTTAGTTACGAGTTTATCTATTTGGTGTTTCTGTGATCGCCACTTTTCATAAGAACCATAACACGAATTTCACGATGTGTTTGTTTTACTTTGACCAGACAACGGAGCGTCTTCGATCTATGAGAGTAACATATAGACAGAATTACGAAGTATGCGAATGAAATAATAAAATTAATTTCTCTAACGTCACTTAGTTTGAACATTTTTTTTCTAATTTATGGACTACCCTCAAAAACATGTATGTATATTGTTTGTTTTTCTGTATTTACCTTCAAGGCATCTATCTTCTCAGCGATCCTCTCGTAATCTTCTCTTCTCTCCTTTAACTCGTTCAGAATAGGTTTGAGACTAAACGAAGCTTCGATGTTGTTTGAATTCGTTTGTGTTGGATAACTGAAATTGATAAACGGAATACATTTAATACTATATATGTTATTGTTTATATATTATAAAATATATTTTTGTACACACATGTTAATAACATAATACATAATTTCGGAATAGAGCTAATGCTAATTTATATATTAAAGACACATAGCTGAGAACTTCAACGAAATTGGCCTATCAAATGAAAATACCGCATTGAAATCGGTCGACCCGTTTAATAACTACTATAACATGCATACAGTTAATTTCATTCTAAATGTATTTCAATTAGAATACAAATTTTAGTTAAACAATATTTCAAAGATAGATAGATAGATAATAGTAGTGGAGGGGGAACATATATAAGTAATGGCAAAGCAAGGCACTAAATACTCAACGGCGAGGTTGTTACAAATCTTGTGTATATCGAGATTAGAAATATGATTTTTTACGTAAAATAACATATTATTTTCATTCCATAGAATACGCATTAGATGAGAATTGATTGATCAATTAGTTTTTTTTTTAAATATTTTTTTTTAGCTTATCGGAGCCCATTGCTGAGCAAAGGCCTCTTTCTCACATAGGGAAGGTTTGAGCATTAATCACCACGCTTGCTCAAGACGGGTTGGCGATTTCAAACTTATAATTGTGAAATTATAAGTCCAGGTTTTTTCACGATGTTTTGCTTCATCGTCTGTCAGTGGTGTCTAAATACTCTTAGAAAGTACATATGACTCGGAACAAGTCTCATTGGTACTTGCCAGGGCCAGGATCGAACCCGCACCGTCGTGAACGAGAGGCGGGCCCTTTAACCACTGACTAATTAGTTATTTGGTCAGGATTTATTTCATTCCCGTTGTTAGGTCGTTAGTATATGTATAACTCACGGGGCTCCCTCGCTGGTGACGGAGGAGGAGGGCGAAGCCTCTGGCGAGACGTACTTCTGTGCGGGCGAGGGGGCGGCGCCCGCGCGGGGCAGCGTGGAGCCCCGGGCGCCTTCGCCCTCCGACGCACGGGAGCCTTCAGACGACGCGTTCGCTGCGTTGTAGGAACACTCAATACGGGGACTACATACTTATAAGGTGTTACGTACTATTGATACTATATAAAAAAATCATAAAATTACCAAGCGAATATAATATATTATGTAATTTTATTGGCTATAATTTGCATGCGTCATTATAATAGTAACTAATATAATTTTTTTTTGTCATTCTTTCATACGTAGTGTACTGATATATAATAGGAAATGTGCAGTGTTCATATAGTGGATAGTGTGTGGCTTTGTACCGAGAAATATATAAAGCAATGTAATGTGTACACAGACTGATAGCGGACTATACTATACAATAAACATTATACCACAGTATAAAAGCATGCGAATACATGTATATATATCATTATCGTCTATTTACCTCTCAGTTCCGCGTGTTGTGGTGCTGGTGTGCGGAAACGGGAAGGGGATAAGCAAATATTAGTTAGGACACACTTGTTATGATATACTGTGACGTCAGCGTGTTATGTGAAACAATCGATGACGTCATCAAAAACCTATCTGTGATTTATCTGTTACATAGAAAGCTTACTAGTATTGTTCAGGAATTGATATTTTAAATTTTCTTTAATTTGAAATCATAAATAGGTTTTAAATGATAATAGTTTAAGCTTAGTAATTATAAGCTGCAGCGTTGAAATTATTCATATATAAATTTATTTATAGTTTCAGATAAGCTTAGTAAGAGTTGTTATATGGAAGCATTCATAATGATTAGAAACTTCTTAATGAACTAAAACAAAAACTATAGAAGTTTTCTTAAAGTAAGTAATATAATAATTATAACAAAAATTAATAATTATGACGTAAATAGTAATAAACGAAGTATCATTGCATCACGGGTCCCGTACCTCGATCTACATAAACGCAACCCTAATAAAATGACTTTGCTGTTCGTCTGACTGACCGTTAATTATATTTATTTCTAATTAATTCTTAAAAAATATAATTTTAGTATACAAATTAAAACTTTAAGAAAAACGAAATCTGTAAAATTGTAAAATTTAATGAAACAAACATGTAGAACAAACAAACAATTACGCTGGCGACTTGTTAATATGCATACATTCAAAATAATCACTTTTGCCATACAAATATTTTAAATTTGTACAGACTGACCGCGATTTATATATTATGTAGTACCACAGTTCGTTCTTTAGTACAAATTAAATACAAAATTATTGCATTTAAAAGTTCACAAATAATTAATAAATTCTAAGGTACCTTCACTTATTATTTTTATTTAAAAGTATTACCAAATAAAATATAACTTCATCTTTCTTAAACTTTACAATTCCGAATGAATGTACTAGTACTAGAACGAATAGTAACAACTATATCACCATTTGTATCACTATAATATCGTTTATTTATCGTCAAAACGCTAACAAGTTATATGTAATTTCAAAGCGATATTAAACTAAACATTAACACAGTACCGGTCGTGAGACACGATTATTGCAAGAAGCCCAATAACCTTGGCACAAAAAATATACATTTCAATAGAAAATTATATAATTACATTTCCGGCGACACTTCCTACACTTCTTAAAGAACATATTACACTAACACGATCAACTTATTACAACACAACCGCATTATTTAATTTTGATAACATCTGTTTACTCTACAGTCAATACAAAACGACTGAGTCACAAGTGCTGTATTCTCTACAATCTTGACATGCATCATTTATCTGTGGTTATCTTCTAACGACGATGACCTTCAACGGTGATAACTTACAATTGTTTACTTGTATTTCAAATATTATGCGTTAATACACTAATGTTAAATGTTTGTCTATGTATTCGAAACGATCTCCTAAACTTTTGACTTAGATTTTTTCATGAATCAAAAGCATGCATTAAATATTATATTTGATAAAAATAAAAATATATTATTTACAATTATTATATATATGAATATTATCTACAAATATCAAAGCCATGTTAAACACTACACTATACTTACAGGGGCCAGTGTTTTCTGCGAGACAAAATTGACGAACATTAAAATCGATAAATGGTAATAGCTATGTATTGTAGTGATGTAGCTTTGAAATATCGATATCGATAGAAATGTAACAGTGAGAACGACACCACATATAGTTTATATATATGTACATTAGCAGGAGTAAGGAGTTTCTTTGATATATGTATTTTCTGTGTATATTTGTTATTTTTGTATGAGTCATATATGTATACATTCATTTTATAAAGCTTATCGTATTCTTTCTCGTGAGAACATTCCTTTAATCTTACTTGGTGTTGCCATAAAAATTATTCTATTCAATAAAATAGTAATAAAATTGATACATAAATTTTATAAGGCAGTGTTTGGTTTCAGTATATAATTCCTGGATTATGATTCATTTTATAAATATATTATAGTCCAGTCATTTAAGCTTAAATTAGGTAAGAATCTCGGAATTCGAGATACCCAGCTGTAAGTCTGTAAATAGTTGTATATTGACACCCTAAAAGTTGTCTCAAAACCTACATATGGTAGGGTGTAAGCAACTATTAAATATCATGGTCAAAGGTCACAAAAATCGGTTTTTTGCGCTTTTTTTGGAAATATCTCATTTCCTGTGGGTTTTTTGCTATTTGTATTTATTATCAATATTGTAGAATACTAAATTCTCTACAAATTTTGTTTCAAAAATTTTTTTATACGGTGTACCGTTTTCGAGATAGAGGGCGGAAAGCGCGCGGCCATATATAGTTGATGAACTATCAATAAATCAATGATTATTATAAATATTTGACAATTTTTATTAACTATTATATTATATTTTATCATTTTTTTCCTAACTTATCCACTTTTTATTCAGTATTAATTTATTTAACAACACTTACCTGTCCATGTAATTGCAGAATTGTTAATGAAAATATAAGAATTATGTTTGAATTTTAACCTAATTAATATTAATAACTTCTTACATGATGAAAAAAAAAAACAAATAAATTATGAATTAATCTTTTTATTAAAAAATATCATTGAATAAATTATTTTTTATTGAAAGTAAAAAAATGGAATAAAGGGTACAAAAACAACAATTTATAATTTTAAACATCTTCTTCCTCTTCATCGTCGTCTTCTGGCTGCTGGTAAATTTCAAACTGGTCTTCATTATCGTCTTCAACGACATTTGTCTCAAGTTCTTCCATGATTTTGGGATCAAAGGTTCCATCTTCGTTAATGTCGCTCTGATATGGTTGAGCATTGAGACAAGCTTGCCCATTACATTGGCCACAAGCTAAAGAGCATTGCAAGCCCGCTTTCCTGCATCCGCATCGCGAACCACAACCACTTTTGCAGTTGCAGAAAATTGTATTTAGCAAATTTTCTGGAGCAGGTGGTAAAATTGTCATGATAGGCTCCAGAAAATCATTTCGCATTGCCCAACACCATACCTGGGGTTCCAAATCATGTCCTAACCAAGTTTGAACTTGATAATATACACGGTTGAAATGATGCGCGCTCTCCGCCCTCTATCTCGAAAACGGTACACCGTATAAAAAATTTTTTGAAACAAAATTTGTAGAGAATTTAGTATTCTACAATATTGATAATAAATACAAATAGCAAAAAACCCATAGGAAATGAGATATTTCCAAAAAAAGCGCAAAAAACCGATTTTAGTGAACTTTGACCCTGAAATTTAATAGTTGCTTACACCCTACCATATGTAGGTTTTGAGACAACTTTTAGGGTGTCAATATACAACTATTTACAGACTTACAGCTGGGTATCTCGAATTCCGAGGTGAACTTACTATAATGACTGGACTATTAGTTTTGCTCGCGACTTTGTTTGTGTCAGTTTCATAAAGCGAAATGTGTATCTTTATGAGCGAACTCTGCTCTACCTTAGAGGCAATATATAAGGAGATTTTGAATTTTATTAAGAACGGGATAAAAAGTATTTTATGTCCTTTTGCTTATTTTAAGCTATCTCTCCACCACTTTTCAGCCAAATCCGTGCAGCCGTTCTTAAGTTACAAATAGTATAAATAAAACCAGTTTAATTTTTATACATATACTGTTTTTTTTCCACGATTTTTTGCGTTAGTTTCAGAATTAGAAATGTATAGCTGACCAGGCGAACTCTGTTCCTAATTAAAGACAGTACATAAGAACATTTTGGATTTGAACTGTTTCTGAGAAAACAATTACATTTTCACTTGGGTTGTCCTTTTAATTTAAATCCTTAATTTATTATATTAAAAAATATAATTATTCTTCACTTATGTGAATACTGTACTGATAGCACAAGTATAAAGCAAAACGAATAACGCTTCAAGTCTCATTGACATCGACATGTCAATGTTTATTTACATTTTTTATCATGTCTCATTGGATTTGCTCTGGGGATTACATATACGTACGTGTGTGAGATGTTGCTTATGTTTACTTGTATTTGTGTAATATTGCATATATGTGTGTATGTGTGAGAAGTTCCTCATATTCACTCGTATTTTTGTGTGTGTGTGTGTGTGTGTGTGTGTGTGTGTGTATATGTGTGTGTGTATGTGTGTGTGTGTTCGTACAGACCGGCGAGGTGTGCGATGTTATCAGCTGATCCGAAGCGGTTGGACCGTGAGAAGAGGTGAGCGAACTCTCTGGGCGCCGACATCACACTGCCGCCGAGACCCGTGATGCCGTCACGAATGTTACCGCCCACGTTCCTGCACCACAGATTATATATAGCATACATAGACATAGATTAAATATCAATTATCACACGTCACCATAGAGATGGCACAGATGATATATATTATAGATGGAGTTATAGATTATACAGCAATTATGAGACACCATCTTAGTTGACAAAAGTTTACGGTTACATCTGTAGCTTCTGTTTTTTTTGTTCATTACTATTATATATTCTTTCATTATGAAACGATAAAATTTTAAATTTATTTTTTATAATACACAATTAATTATTATTTTAATGTTTATGTTAATGATTATTAGTTTTTTTTTCTAATTTTCCTTTGTGCAATTAATGTAATGTAATTTTATCTGCATGATACGTGTCTATTTTTCTTTGAAATGTGTGTAACACCTATAATTAAGACAACATTTTGATGTTATGATTACTTGTTCAATAATGTATTTTTCGCTTTTATTAATGTATGTCTTGTTGGTGTTAATAAATAAATAAAACTAACTTGAGTCCTTGTCCCATGTCTCGCAACACTTCCCTTGGTTGTCTGTGCGATTGGCCGCTAGTGCCGTGTTGCTGAAACAGTTAATAATACAATTAATAAACACTTAATACATGAACCGCTATAAACTTTCTTTGTATTATATTTTCTGTTAAATTTTTAGACAACATTAATACTAATGTATGACATTTTCATTAATCAATTAATTTAATATTAAAAAATTTAATGAGCAATATGTTCCGATTTCTTAACGTTATTTTATTAACCTTGGATCAACCGTTATATGGAGACATTATTATCTCGTCTGTCCGTGATCACGGTTGCTGTAAGGTAATCTAAACGTCGGAAGTATATGGTTTAAATAATAAAATAACATTAAGTAATCAGAAAATATAAGGTTCCTTTCAATTAATACTTAAAACTTAGATCTCATTAATTTTAAGAGCAATATTAGAGGATTATGGTATATACCATTTTAATATTTTCTTGGCTTTCATCTTAACGACGTTCTTCTTCTACCTGGCAATTTCCCAGCTATAGCCAGGGTCTGCCTTAGATATTGTGAATAATTTTTGGCTATTTGTTTTTACGACCGGCCGCCTGCCTGATATCAACCCTCTTTGGGAATGCATTAATCAGTGATGTCTAAAAACTCTTAGAAAGTACATATGATTCGGAAAAATCACATTGGTACTTGCCAGGGTCAGGATCGAACCCGCGCCCTCGGCAACGAGAGGCAGGTCCTTTAACCACTAGGCCACCACTGACTTAACGACGTTATATACTCATATAGTGTACATACCTCCCAGCTTTTAATTCTCTTGTTGTACCCTTCAAGTTTCTTCTGTAGCTGTACTATACAGAGCGCACTTTTTTGGTTTTTCTTCTCAAACACCGCCTTGATCCTAGCCAGTTGTTGTTTGTCAGCATTCGCCGCTAGCTTGAGGTATTCGTTCACGTTCTCTGTCATTATTACGGGGTGTTCAAATTATTTATATAGACAAGGTCATTAACCTATAGAATCATTTGTATGATGTTTTTATTATTTCGATGATCGATTTTATATGAAATTATTGTATAAATGAAATGTAAGATATGTGTATAAATTTATGGAAATATCTGTATAATTAATTAAAACGTAACATAAAACATAAGAAATTTTCTATAATAGAAATTCGTATCTGATTACAACATTAAAAACAGATATATAGTAAGAGAGAAAAGTGAGATTAATAATATTATTGTTAGTAAAAAAACAAGTAGAAAAAGGTATCACGTAATATCAGACATTCATTTGGTCGGAAATCGTTCACGCAGTCAACACCAAGGGCAATAAGAGCTAATTAACTTAATTAGTAATAATTTTATTGGCAGCTCACGAACAACACTGTGAAACTACCTTCAAATATTTCAACTTCATTAACCTTATAACGAGAATGAAATCATTTGTTATGATTTAAGAATTCTTATATCTACATTAATACTAACAGCTAATTATTTTTAATTATGTTTAGGTTACTGAACATAATATTACAGACTAGCTTTTCGACTACAGCTTCGCCCGCATGGAGTTCGGTTATATCGCGTTTCCAAGAGAACCTTTCAAAAGTCTGGCATAAAAACTATGCTATGTTCTTTCTCAAGTTCAACTCTATCTTTGTACCAAATTTCATTAAAATCAGTTCAGTGGTTTAGGCGTGAAAGCGTAACAGACAGACAGAGTTACTTTCTCATTTATAATATTAGTAGGGATAGTAACACTACTATTATGTAGTTTCTATAGGTCAGTAGTGTAATGGTGTATGACTACTACCACTACTAATATACTTACCATCTCTGGTAGTCTGTTCTAATCGTATGAGGTCTTTAGTGCGTTCTATCTTAGCGTTTAGATGAGCAATGGCAGCTTGTGCCTTAGACGAAGTCGCTGTTGAATTACCATCCATATCCTCTGTGAAATAAAACACATTTTTAAATGTCTTCGATATAGTATAGAATATAGGGAATATTATGTTTCATTTATCTATATATATATCCCATTTTTAGTCATCATAAACAATAATATTAGTTTATGTATACAATTTAAATGTATGTTGAGGAAAAAACATATTAATCAATGTTTTATTTACACTGCTCTGACATAAAATAATGACTCAAATTAATTATATTGAAGGCTGAACAATATTTATCATATTTTCAATATATATGTAATATAATAATGGATTCAATAAACAATAATTCAATAAGTAAATCCGTAGATTCAAATTTTTATATATTTTAATTACCAAAATCATTTTTACCTTGGCTCATATAATCTCCATCTTGACCTAGAACAAAGAATTAATGTCTCAACATTAGGTATTCAAATCATATATATATATCTATATATATATATATATAGTGTTACATATGTGGTCAACATACGTTATCAGAATATATGTAAATCAAAGTGTCTCCGTCTTCCCACTCATTGATAACAGACCGAAACCATTTTCAGATAAAGCTTGTCTGGTAACTCAAAGATATATGTATAAATAGTAATATTTTTTATTATAAAAATTAGTTTGACCGTCCGCTTTCTGTGATAATGAAATATAGACTGACAATATCAAACATTAACGGCACAAACTAACATTAACTTTAAAAAAATTAAATAAATGTCTCTAAATTATGATACTTTATAATATAATAATTCCTTTACAATACTAGATACAAGTATTCACCAATGTCAGATATATGTATCTCCCACCTTCTGTCAGATATATCCCCACCTCTGTCAGATATATCCCCAACCCTGTCCAATACATGTCATTACCCCTGACACATATAAGACCTAGTAAATATTCCTGAATATACAATACATATTTTTTCCTTACTTCTGTAAGCTGGCGAGCCGTACTCATCAGCTGATGACAGAGCATACGACACGTTGGGACTGCATACAGCGAACGTGTAGTCTGGATGTATACTGGGCTTCTTTTGTGGCGACTCTTCCAAGCTGGAAAACATTTAAGGCAATATTCTTCATACATAACTCTATGTGAATAAAGCATAGTACTAAATATAGTCTTCACTATTCTGAGGACGAGTCTTTTAGTTTTCCATTATACATATATATGAAAAGTTATGAAGGAAAATATCTAAAGCTTTTCTGTATAGTATGATGATGCAAACACGTGTTAAAGATTGTTGTAGGGTAACAAATAGTTATTTTCTCTATATATATAATAACTTCATCTTACTCTCTGGATGTGTTTGCTGTTGTGCTGCTACACAGCGGATTGCTGCCCAAATCCCTGGAATGGGATTTAACGTGATGCGGACGGGATTCGCCATGTCGACCCTCCTTGAATGTAATTGAGCATTACCCATATGTTACGAAATTGTTTTTGGAAATTATACATTTTATATAGATGTAAGAAAAAGCTTTGAAAATGACTTCAATTCTTTATATTAATATTTAAATGCAGACGATTTCTACAGTCGTTAGAAGTATAGCTATAATTCTCGATGGACTGCATTAAGCTCTTGAAACGAAATTAAACACTGAATGAAATCAAATCCAGCGTTGTACAATTGTTGTATGCTAATAAATTTCCAGTTATTACATTGTTTGTGAGTAAAACAATCAAGCGTTCCGGGATAAACCACTCTGCTGGTTTATTTTAGGAAATATAGTATTGAACGCAGTTACTGTTTTAACTTTAATTGTGAAATGTCAAAGGTTAGGTATCCTATATTTTTTTTCTATTTCCAACAAAAACTCAATATTTTTATACCAAGGAATATATCATAAATAGAAATATACATAAATATGTATATATATTACGATGTCTGTATATGCCAAGAATATTTTGTTTACTATCAATCCATCAAAATTTTCTTTCTATAACCTTAGAAACATACTATATTTATATAAAATGATAACCGTCTGATAGGTATTTAATTGATAAAGTATTACAACATAGCTGATAAATACTACTAACGTATTATGTGTGTGTGTGACTGAGTGTGTGTGTGTGTGCGTATATGTGTGTGTGTGTTCAACTACATACATGATGTGCAGCCGATGGAGATTGAACCCTGGACCTGATGACGTCATCGGTGACGACAGCAGGGTCCCTCAAATCCGCGGCTGAAGGTGACTGGCTCCTACTGGACCCTTTGCTATGACCATGTCCCACGTGCAATGTATCCATAGCGATGGTTTGAAACACATCCACTCATACAAGAACTTTGACTTCGATATTATAATGCCCCATTTCTTTAATCTGTAATATAATTATTTATCGATGATTCCGTGTTATTTGTGTCACATTATCATCTAGGGTCAATGAATTATTAGAATAATAAATGTTTAAGTATGTTTTGTATGTAAAAAATATTAGACACGTGTCGTGTTAACTGAAACGTTTCGTTGCTAAGACAAATTTTCATGTAACTTTTACAATTATTTACAATACATAAGGGAAAGTTTTATTGGAACAGATATTACAAGAATATTATTATTATGACATAAAATTAACAGTTAGAGAAATAACTAAATGAAACAAGTATTAATTGAGCGATTGAGAGTATTATATGTATCCCTCATCTGCTCGATTAATAAGTTTCTTGCATCCTTAGTTCCATTATAAAACGGAAGATTTCATTCTACTATGTACATACTGTTAAAATACAAACGCAATCTAAAACAATAAAAAAATATTTTCATACAAATGTACTTTCTAATTTATGCTTTCGAGTAATAACTGAATTTTAATATTTCGCAGAAACCACAAAAAGAAAATTGTCTTTTATAATGAATTTAATAACCGATGTCAAGCAAACATTATCTCAAAAATAATATAATAAAATAAATCTTAACATTTGGATAAACATATTAAAATATTATTTAGTACGTGTTCATGATTTCTCACGGGATAACATAACAAAGAGACAACAGTATGAAAAGACTTATGTGGAAATTAATGTGTTTATTTATAATCTAAGGCATTTATTATTCTGTTCAAGTACAAAGTATAATTTAACTTATTAATCATAGGAAATAATCTCAAAATCAATATCTCATATTTAGGGTATACTCTTTATATGTTAGTATGTATGTACATATTTTAAAACTATGAAAACATACAAGTTAAAGTTAAATTTCCATTAGCTTCTGTACTGAAAACAGCAAATATATATTAAATTGCTGCAATTTAGCAACAAAAGCCTGTTCCAGATGAAAATAGATAAAACAAATTGTTATGAACTATATTTCGCGAATGAAATAAATCTAAATTACGTCGACAGTTTATAATGACGTTAATTCCGGAACTCACGACCAACGGAAGACTGTAATTAGCGCAGTCTGTACACACACACACACACACACACATAATCACACACACATGTGCGTGTCATTATGTGCAAATGTGTGCGTTTTGACTCTGCACTAATAAGCTCTAATAAACTCTAATCTTTAAAGCGTTCAGTAGACCTCAAAGACTACAACTCTTCATACAACTATTGCTATTCATTTGAAGATATTGCCACAAACATTGAAATAAATCACCTATACCTATTGTACTACTATATAATTTTTCTATTGTATTTACAAGTTCGCATCGTTAAACTAAAATATGCATTTTCATTTATTTATTTACAATTATAATATTAAATATGGGTACGCATAATTTTAAAACATAACATTTTTTGTATTCTATTTGACAATACGTAGTGATAAACATAGAAACTATCAATATACAGTCTTTTTAATTCAATTTCAATAATAATAATATGTTAATAGTAGACTTTTAATCCACAATATACTCAGGAAACTTTGTTTTGAGACGTATATTCATATGTTTTTTGTTCCAATCAAGATCATATTCCCGAGCATCAAATATAGGTAACATGACGGTACCATTGTGATTAGGTCTCACGATTGTATTCTCTCGCGTCTAATAGCCAGCGACTTCATCATAAAGGTCAGATAACAGTTACTAAGAGACGTTATGAAATTTATACAGCATTAAATACTGCTTTATATACACTACAAGTTTTTGCCCGCGACTTAGTCTGTTTTGGTTTCAGAATAAGAAATTTATAGCTGACTAAGCGAAGGTTGTTAATCCTTAAAGGCACTAGATAAGAAGATTTTGGATTTGATCAATTTATTTTGTTTTCTTTTTTCAATTGGATCAAAAGTATTCTATGTCCTTTCCCTTGTTCTAAGCTCCACCCTCCACCAATATTCTTTCAAACCCGTACCACGACTTTCTTTTATATATATTACACTATATGTCATTGGATTAAAGATTTATTATTAAAATTATATTCTCAGACCTTCAGCGGTCATTATATACATTTTATATATTATTAAACATCTTTGTAAGTAAACGACGCTCGTTTAAAGTTTAGGGTCATGGGAGTTGAGCAACGTTAGCTCGGTTTAACCTTGGATGGGTGACCAGATGAAACAAAAAATAGCCGAAGCGATTCCGTGCTTCACATACATGAATAAAGGTTGAGCCTGTACCGAATCCTGCCTGTGGTTATAATTTCCGCTCAAGAAACCACCAGAAAGATTAAAATACTATATGACACTTCTGTACCCATCTGTAGCACTAACAGTTAACCATATATGTAATACATTGATTAAAAAAATTTAATGGTTTTAGATCTGAGATAGAAAAATAAGCCTATTATAAAAGTAAGAATAACATAAATATTGTATTAGCATGATATTTCCTCTATTTATGCTATTAATTCGAAGGTTAGCAATATTTTGTTACATATCTGATTTCTGTATAAATTAAATGATAACATCAATTATTTTTGGAGCTTTACAGAAAAAAAGAGCATATCTATTCGTCTGTATTTTGTTATTAAATTTCCGTATAGTAACAAAGACTTCTCGTTACATTATAGGTAATCTATATAATATTAATATTGTGAAGTAATTTCCTAACACAGCCTTAATACAGACGTTGGTTATAAATAGCATGTGAATCAAAGCCTACCACCTGGGGCTAAACCACTGATACATATATATTATATACAACAACATAAATACATTTTGATATAACATGATACCGTTAATTATAAGTCAAGATTTAGTCTATGTATACCTTATAATTAATCCCTACTAATATTATAAATGCGAAAGTAACTCTGTCTGTCTGTCTGTTACGCTTTCACGCCTAAACCACTGAACTGATTTTAATGAAATTTGGTACAGAGATAGAGTTGACCTCGAAAAAGAACATAGGATAGTTTTTATTCCAGACTTTTGAAAGGTTCTCTTGGAAACGCGATATAACCGAACTCCACGCGGCGAAGCTGCGAGCGGAAAGCTAGTAGTACATAATATTTAGAAAAAGTGTCCTTAATATATACTTTTTATTTAAAATATCTTTCTTTACATTCTACTAAGGGTTACTAGTTCATAGCTAGTGTTATCCTAATTAGGCTAAAGCCCTTTGTGACACTAGGGTGCGATGACCCCTGTTCGATTGTCGTATAACTGGAGCTAAAACGAAAAAGTTCACAGGGGTTCCTGAACTCATTTAAACTTACTTAAGTTCTATGGATATTGTTATTATTACATGGCTAGTCAAATATATTATTTTGTTGGTATTTTTATTTCATTTTCTTATAATAAATCCCCGTTTAAATTATTTATAATAAAATTATGGTTAAGAGAGTTCCTGGCAGACATTTTTTGAAAGTTATTTAATTTTTGTGTATATATTTTTTATCAAATCATTCTTAATGTGAGTCTCACAATATCCTTCCATTGTATACATGAATCACGAGACGACTCAACAAAAAACTGTACCCTATGAATAAAAAACTCTTGAATCAACGGATGCTAGAAGGCATTTGATATAAGTCAAATATTTTACTATACAATATATTTTATCATTGAAACGATTTCCACTACTTATTCAACAAGGTAGACAGATTATTTTTTACTAATATTTTTAGTATTTTTCAACTTAATACTCAGCTTAATCATAGATTGACTTACATCTTACTAAGATGTGGTATTGTTCTTTGTAAAGAAACTTGAAGTAACAGTCTCTTGTTAGGAACTAGTTAGGCGACATTCAACGACACGACAGTCGCAAACTATTGACGATTGTCGTCATATTATGTGACCAGCTGTCGCTCGTCTGTTAGCTCCCTTATTAACAGTTCTACAGTAAGCTACATTTCAGTTTAATTCCGCTAACTTCATTAAGCTGTCATTGACATTTATAGTCTTTAATCGGTTTTAATATTAAATTGCTCAAATTATTTAAAACTCATCTTAATATTTACTGTGTATATTTAAATCTGAATGTCTTCTCCTATATTCTTTTTAAAATAGTTATATCGTTTTAAACATCTCCAAAGTAAAGTAGTACTGCGACACTGTAATTTGAAAACTGTCAAGTGTTTAAGTTAAGGTTCGTATCATAAAGTCGTTCTCTATTTCAGAGTGAGGTAGTTATTTATGAAAAATTTCCACTTGTCTGGTCGTTAAGAATAAATATTACACAGGCTAAGTTCAAAAATTTCTCTACATAAAAAAAATATGTCCAAGTTTTTACCTTATTTATACCATACTTTATCGAGTACACAAAAATTCTTTCTACATAATTATATACATATATATAATATATATACATATATGTATATTAATGATAGTAGTACAAACCTGCCACTAATTAATATCCATAATTAATTAAGTAAATTTCATTGTCGTTTAGTAAGGTCAACCATAATTTGCTATCGTGTTTACAGGGAAACTGATAAAAGAGTTTGCTATACATACATAATTAATAATATATTATGTTTATTATATTTATAATATAAAAGCTTTCACTTTTTGTTATAAGTACAATTACATTTTCACCACATTGTTACAATTTCATATCAATATTTTGTACGGATTTTATCGTATAATTCAGTTTAATAATTATTTCAAGTTAACCAATTTTGCAGACATACATACATACAAGTAAAAATATAATCGTCCCATTTGTACTTTGGGTTAATCGAATTGCATCAAAATAATGTATGTGTCGCGTAATCTCACTCGTATTTTGTTATTGGAGTTATGAAAACGGATCTTATTTCCACTTTATTAAAATATATTTTACGTGTCATCACTTATTTTCAACAATAATTCTTAATTCTAATGTTTCATCATCAATATTTAATTCAT